ATAAGTTATAGAAAAACTCTAAGCTCCAATTTCCTTCTGAGGAATAATAGTCACAAGGTATATATGTTTATTCAAAGTTCCTCATTGTAGATCAGTTTTGGGTTTCTTGTTTGTTTTTGTGGTACTGAGGATCCAACCCAGTGCTTTCCTTGCACTCAGTCACTGAGCTACACCCCCAGTCCTTTCTCTGTTGTTGTTGTTTTCTTGTTTTTGAAACAAGATCTCGCTTAGCTGCTCAGGGTGGCCTCCAGTTGCAAGCCTCCTGCCTCAGCCTCCCAAGTGATTGGGATCAAACATGTGTTCCTGGCCTATAGATGTTTTAATGGTTTTAGCAATGGGAATTTAGTTCAGACATTCTAATTCCACTCAGATCCTAGGGAGATTCTGTTTCTTTAAATATGAAAAACTTCTGAGTAAACTAAACTTTACATTACCTAAATTTCCTTTTGACTCAAATTCATCTTGACTGCCCTGGATCTATAATTTTAGTGCCAGCCACACTGATTTGACATCTGTAATAGGAACAGTAGCAATGATGGCAGAGTGCAGTGATTCTACTAAAATCCAGGTGACTTGCACCACTACCTCCCCTTCTCCACCGTGGCATATGGGATTTTGTGTTCCCATGGAGCTGTTTATTTTTCCAAACTGGTTAATGCCTCATGAACAAATCTTCATTAAACAAATACCTTGACAGTTTTAGAATTAAATCAAGAATTATCAGAGGTGTGAAGTTAATTGAAAACTAGGTATTTATGACCAATGGGAAAAGCCCCAAGCGGGTTTTTTGGGTTGCTTCAGTTAAGGAAAATGCCACTGTGCAACTTGTAGTAGAAGAGCCCAGAGTGTCAGACTGCATTGCTGGGAGAGTCCTGAGAAGACGCCTGCGAGTGCAGACCAAGGCAATACCGCCCATGAGGCCCTGTGAGTCCCTGGTCTTCACAGGCTCTTCTGGGATGGGTGAATGCTTGGCACTGACTTTACCCAAGGCTTACATCTCATGGACATGGGTAACTGTGTGCCTGAGTACCTTGTCATGTTGGTGGAGTTGCTGGCGTTCATTACAGCTGAGGGTCTGTTAGGTTGAATTTCTTTTAAAATGTAATGATCTTTGTATACTGTTTTTCAAAATTAGGAACCATCTCAGAGTGCTCAGATTGACTGGATACCTTTAGCAGAGCCTGATTCAGGGCAGAATTCATGAGTTTGTAGAAACATCTATGAGTGTTCATCTCATGTTAGCTGAAGAGTGTACCTGGCATGTGACCTTCATACAGAATTTGTGTCAGAAACACAAGGCCTGTGGATGTGATTGTAGGCCTGTCCCCTACCAGGGCTCTCATGTATGCACAGGACACTACATCATCTCACAGCTGAGAAGCAGCACTTACAAAATGAAGACCAGTAAAAACTGATTAGAAACAGAACATAGCCTGGCTTTCATCAGCACTCTCTGCATTCGGAGTGCAGGTCTCTCAAAAGTACATTTAGAGACATCTGGTCAAGATGGAGGAGTGAGTTTGTCCTACAAAGCCCCTCTTGTCCAGATATCTATTAGTGACAAATCAGATATGACAAGAGACCTCTAGAGAGACATGCCAGGCTCAGACACCAAGCAGACAACTCTGCAGCAGAAGCAGAATAGAAACACCAGGTGGGGAGCACAGCTCTAGGCCCTGAAGCTGGTGGTTGGGTCATAGAGTTCACGCTCATGGGGTCAGGGAGGCCACATGTCCCACTGATTCAGGGGATCTGCAGGCAGCCTTCTGCTTGAAACCAGGGAGGGGAAGGGTGCTCCTCCTTTGTACCCTTCCCATAGAAAAACGCTGAAAAGCCTCTGATGATCTGCTGCCTAGGCCTGGAGCTTCATGACCAGGTGTGGACGGAGAAAAGGACAATGACACCTGCTTGTGGTATGGAAGTACACCCCACTGCCTGGTGGCCCAGGAACTGCATGTACCCTCAAATAGCTTCCTGGTAGGGCCCACTAGGCAGCTGTAAAACTCAATATGGACTGAATCTTTTCACTCACAATGAGCCTGAAAATTCAAATTTCTTTTTTTTTTGTTTGTTTTTTTTCCAGTACCGGGAATTGAACTCACGACCTTGTGCTTGCCAGGCAGGCACTGTGCCACTGAGCTAAATCCTCAGCCCCCGAAAATTCAAATTTCAAAACACATGAATAAATCTCATGCTGAAAAAGACAACTATTAGAATATAATTGGATATATATATCCAGGTTACCTCTGTTCAGAGATGTAAACAAGCCTCGGGTAAAGTCAGTGAAATGAATTTTTTAAATGTTTGATAAAGACTTTGAAATAGATATATTTAGAGCCTGCAAGGAGATACATTTAGCAAATTTTTGTTTTAAAAAATCAAGGAATTCTGAAGCAAAAATAGGTGGAAAGAGTATGGTGCATTTCTGTAATCCCACCTACTACTAGGGAAGCTGAGGCAGGAGAACCAGAAGTTCAAAGTCAGCTGGACAACTTTGATCTTGTCTCAAAAAAGGGCAAAAATACAAGTGACCAAGCAGATAAGAAGAACCAATGAGAAATTTTAAAAATTCAAAATATAGACATTAACATTTAAAATCTGAATAGCTTATATACACTCTACACTTGACCTAGGTAATGAAAAGATTAATAAACTGAAAATGATACTTAGAATTACACCCAGAGTATAGCATAAAGAGATGAGAAACTTTACAGTTTCTCACAACGAATGAAGCATCATTCTTAGTGTTAAAACATTAAAATATTTCCAGTAAAATAAGATTCCTTCTATTGCCACCTCACTCAGTATGATACTGTAGGTTATCAATGCAATGATCAGGAAAAAAAAATGAGTTATGTGAACTGGAAAAGTAAATAGGAAAGAGTCCTGTGTTTTTTCTACATCATATGATGTTCTACATGGAAAAATCTAAGAATTTTCACAACCTATGGGAGACTGCAGCATGGTTTTAGATCAACACCCAGATATCAGCACCATTGCAACACACTGCTAATGAAGTATAAAAGGGGAAAAAACCCCACTCCCAGTAGCAATAGAAGCTAAAAGATACCTGCGCTTTGGTCTAAATGTTTGTGTCCCCCAAAATTCAAAAGTTGTAATCTAATCCCTAGGGTGATGGTATTAGGAAGTGTGCCTTTGGGAGGTGATTAGGTCACCACAGCAGACCAGGGGAGCATGAACAAGATTAATGTTACAAAAGAGACCTGGGAGCGCTTCCTGGACACGGTCCCCACATGAAGACGTTGAGAGGATGGCCATCTAGGATGCAGGAAGCAGATTGTCACTAGGTACTGTGACCCTGCTAACACCTCAATCCTGGATATATCCAGAACTAAAAGAAATGAATTTCTGTTGTTCATAAACCACTTGGTCTATAGATTTCTGTTACTGCAGCCCAACAAACCAAGACACCTAGAGGGTAAAATCTAATCAAAATGTACAAGCTCACTATGGAGAAACTTAAAAATTTTGATTGAAGGACATAAAATTAAACCTGACTAAATTAGAAGCAAGCCATGTTCATAAGTTTGGAACAGATTTAGTTCTTTCCAAAATAAAGATTGATAACACTGACTACTTTAAAATTAAAAACTTCTGTTCAACCAGACATGATAAATAAATCAAAAGATAAATTATGGGTTGGAAAACACATTTGCAGTGCAATATAATATATAAAAACTAATATGAGAATTTATAAAGGAATAATTGACCCAAGCTACCCACTAGAAAAATGAACACAGGATATGCACAGGCAGTTCCTAGAGGAGGTAACCTAAACGGATGCACAATAATAGAAGCTCAACTTCAAAGAATAGAGGATTATAATAGCATGAGATACTATGTCACCTCCGTCAGGTTGACAGAAATGAAAATGCCTGAAAATCCTAAATGTTCTAAAGCAGCAGAAACTCTCCTGTACTGCTAGTGGAAAGATAAGCTTGTAAAGACCGGCCAGGTGGCAGAAAGGCCATGATAGGATGGAATGGGCCATGAGGGATCAGGAGTTGAGCAGTATAGAAGAGATGCCTGGAGTTGAAGAAGTTGGCTGGTGGCCAGCGGAGATGGAACAAGGTGCAGAGAAAGGCAGGGATGCAGGGAGTGGCTTGTGAATGTTCCTCAAAGGGAGCCAGATAACCTGCCCCAACAGCAGTGTAGGAGCCAGGTAACTACTGCAGAGCTCTGCTGCCCCAGGCCTCCCTCGTCCCACAATCTCCAGCTCACCTGGGCTTGCCCTGGTGGAAGGAGGCACGTTATGGGAAACATGGGGCTCTCTGACAAATGCACCTTTGCCACAACTCCTCTGCTGCTGTATGTGACAGTTGCAAGCTTGCTTGGAAGTCATCTTTGTCTTGGGGTGCTAGAGCATTTCTGAATACGCAGACCCTTTCTGTGCTCACTAATGACTGCCGAACTTCTGACTGAGCAGTCTTCAGCGTATTTCAATCTAACACCACCCAAAGCACTGTTTTTTCAGTGCTGTCTGGTCCCAGGTGGTGAAGCCCAAGGCCTCTCCAGGCTTTCTATTAGGCCCATCCATGTAGGGTTTCCCAGGTTCCTGAGACCTCTGGTATAGTAGAATCACTTCTGCATGCTGCGAGTCTGCAAGATCAGCCCAGCGGCATTCAAGAGGGAGCAAGAGCAAGGGTGTTGAGGGCATGGATGCCGAGAACAGTCAACCTCAGGTGCATCAGTTTCTACCAATAACCAGCCATGTCACCTCATGCAGAACACTTGCACTCTCTTGTGCCTCAGTTTCCTCTTCTGTTAGTGGAGATAATCATAACCTACCTCATAGAATCAAAACAATTAATACATGAGAAGTGTGTATAAGACAGCCCCTGGCACACAGGAAGTGCTGGATTGACCTTGGCTGTCAGCATTGTGGTTTATTATACAAATTGAATCTCTGTTTCTTACTACTAGAAGAACTAGTTATGAAGAAAAATAATGTGCCTCATTTTTGTCTGTTTGTCTTGCAGCAAAACTTACATTATTCCTTTGCAGTGCAGCTGCCCCGTGGATTTTGAGTTCCAGGTCACTTTGATTCAGTCTCACCAAGCCTTTGTTATTGAGCCAACATCAGGTATGGAGAATCGAAGTTTCTGTTTCCAATTTCCCTGGAGTTCCCAGACAAAGGCTGGACTTGGAAAGTAGGTCTCAAGTTCTAAAAACACAGACTAAGTCATATTTGAATGTATTACCCTATTTTCAAATATGTAGTAACAGTGACAAATTTTATATAGCTGACATAATGTAAGTTGGAGTTACACACAGGAATGAGGGCACTTTTGGATAATTTGTATTCTACAGATGATGAGTAATAATGTTCAGGTGCATGTCTTCACAGGCCCAAACTTGAAACACGAAGTTAATACAGTCTAATTCTAATTTTGGTTCTTGGTATTCATTGGTTTTATGTTTTATTTTTTGAGATAGGGTCTTGCCATGTAGCCCAGGCTAGCCTTGAACTCACGACGATCCTCTTGCATTAGCCACCCAAGTGCTGGATTGCCAGTGTGTGCCACCACACCCAGTCTTCAATCACTGGTTTTGTATTCACTTTTTAATTCAATTTCAAATAAAATGGCAATGTGGTTTCTTCACAAGCTTTCAGAATCTCACTGCAGGGTCCAGTGAATTTTTTCTGTTATTGGAACAGTCTGTCCTTACGTGTCCAGATGCCATAAGCCCCTATGCTTTCAAAATGGGATCTCTTACATTTGAAAGTGAAATTTAACACTGGAAGTGATTTCTACTTCCCATTTTCTGTCTCTTTAGATTTAGATTTGGTATTTAAACATTTGTCCACAGTGGTCTGCTATGAATGCTAAAATAGTTTATTTTGATAAGTCTAGGTATGTATTTGTGTACACCTTTTTCGTAATTGCAAGTGAATATTTTGACCAGTGAATGAGTGTTCAAAGCAAAAACTTTGAATTAATTCTAAATTTTGAAATGCTTACAGGTTATTTTCTATAGAAATAGGAAACATTCTGAGATTTTAAAAATATAAGGTAATGATAGATTATATTGAATAAAATAAGACTTGATTCTCTTTCCAGAAAGAAAAGGTCTATTACTTTCAGCTGTTTGGGCCTTAAAGAGAAGGGAAAATAAATGGTTTCTAAAGTCTATTAAATAAGGCAATATTTTTGCTATATGCATATAGTTTATATTCTCAGAGTAAGCCTTTTGTTAGAATATGTTACACGTTGAGGCTGTTGTATGCTAGGCACTATTCTAAGAGAGATGTCCATATTCTTCACCTGTACCAATACCGTATTGGGTCAGTACTGTTATTTCCATTTTATTGACACAAGTGTGAGGCACCAAAGGGTTAAAAACCTTGTCCAGTGCCACTTAATAGTAAGTGATAGGCCCAGGAAGATGGCTCAGCAGCACAGCGCCTGCCTGCCAAGTGCAAGGTCCTGAGTTCGATTCCTGGTAGCAAAAAACAAAAAAATAATAAGTGACAGAGGTAAGATTTGAACCCACTCAGTCTGGCTCCAAAGTCTGTGTGCTGCTTTGTAAAGTACAAGTTGAATTTACATCTTAACTCTGAAGAAGTTATAAAAATTTGCCCTACAAGATATGTTGGCAAAGTGAGTCAGCTACTTGGTCTTGGTTTACATGACTTGGAGAAGTGGAGCTCTTAGCAAGAAAGAGGAAATACAGCTGCCCCCACCCCTGGGCCAGACCAAGTAGCTTGTTCAGCACTGCTGGTGGCTCATGGGAATGGGGCAGAAAGGGAGTCAAACACCAGATAAGAGTTTAGACCACATCATTGCCCCCAAATATAGATCACTTGGGAAAACTATGAAACTCAGGGACTCTTCCCTGATAATTTGGGTTTAGTGAGTCTGGGAAGGGCCTGGTTTTCTACACCTTTCATAATGCCCTAGCTGCATGTGATTATGATTGGGACATTCTTAGAGTGTTTGAGAATCATTGAGCTGGTTTGATCTGTAGGTCCTGCCCCACCTGATGGGCTATATTCTGTTCAGTTCCAGAGGCAGAAGGAAGCACTTAGATTTCTGAGCAACTATCATGGGAGCTGGTTTATAGACAGACCAGGGTGTGCACAGTGTGCAGATACAGTGAGGTGGGTATGGCCAGGAGGCAAGGAAATTGTGGTGTTGGGATAAAATAATGTGGGTCTCTAAGGCCTAAATGGAGTTGGTGTCAGGAAAAGGGAAAAAATCTGGACAACTGACTGCCCAAACATACTGCTCTAAAACTCTGTGCCCTAAGGCCAAGAACATTAAATTACCATAGGAGTTTTGAAATATAACCTGTAAAACTTGTGGATTACATAGATAAAAGCGATAGTGTTTGAGCAGAGTTCACTGACTACTGTGTGGGAAACACTTACCAAACCCTTCAGGCTGAGTGCTCAGATTATAAAACGTACAGCCACATAATTAAGACCAATGTGTGATCCTTGAGCTATTTTGTCTGACCCATCTCTTAGGCTCTTGTGGTTGTTCTGGTGGTACTTTTTTTGGTCTGTTGCTTGTACTTTAAATTCCTCTTTTGAATGAAATTAAATTGACTATACCAGGTTGAAGTCAAGAGAGAGTTAAGCATAGGGACATAGATTTTGACATCACCTGGGTACTGATGAAGGGACTAGATATGAGGTTACCCAAGAATGAGTGTGGGTAAAAAAGAGAAGTAGGCTGAAGACTCATCCCTGAGCCTTTTAGCCCTCAGAGGACAGCACAAAAAAGTGGACCCAGGAGCAGAGATCTCAGAGGAAATTCAGGAGAATTGACCAAAGAAATGAATGAAAGAATCCACGCCAGGCCACTTACATTCAGAGGCCCTAGAAACTGCCTATTCAGGAGGCCCATATGGTGAGGTATTAGTCTTGGCTGGCTGAGATCAGTTGACCGCAGCAATAGTCATTGTACTTGACCCAGAGCATAATGCCTGTACCTTAACAAAATTGTTACTTCTATTGTTTATCCCAGGATCCTCCACTGAGGCTCAGAAAGAGGCCAGAGATGTCCCAGGCCTTTTTCCTAGTTGGAAACTCTGTCTTCCAGGAGGCTGGAAGAGAAAACCAACTTCAGTTATAGGACAGCAGGCCCATCTGTGGGTCCCACAGCACTGGTCTAGAGAGAGTGCTATGCCAAAAATCAGGCAATAGCATCAGAGGGAAAAAAATCACTCCACTCTGGAAATCAGTATGGAGATTCCTCAAAAAGCTAGGATCAGAGGTCCTGTTCAACCGAGCTATTCTCTTCTAGGTATCTTCCTAGAAGAATTAAAAACATCATACCACTGTGATATATGTACACCTTTGTTTATAGCAGCACAATTTATAATAGCTTGGAAGCAACCCAAATGCCCATCAACTGAGATATGGATTTAAAAATGTGGTCTTTTTATACAGTGGAATACTACTCAGCCATAAAGAAGGATAAACTTGAGACTTTTATAGGTAAATGGATGCAACTTGAGACCATACTCATAAGAGAACTAAATTAGACTCACATGTATAAACATAGTATTGTCTCTCTAGTGTAAGAAACTGGTAGAGTACAGAAGGCCTAAAGTATACAATAGATATTGTGAAATGGGAATTGTTCAAAAGAAAAAAGGAACTCGGATGGGGGAAAAGGGAAAGGAAGGAAGGGAAAAAGGGAAAAAACGCAAAATTTGTTATACTACTAGTGTCTTTTAGGTCATTGAAAAGGAAGATTTGTGCTAATATCAATTGGAGGGTTTTTTATGCCCTTATCTTGTACTCTGAGTAACTACTTCAAAGATAACAATAAACAATGTATGAGCTATTGTTATTCTCCTATTATTTTGTTATGGAATTTTTTCCATAAAATAAAAAAATTACTCTAGGTGCAAATAAATGTGGAAGAGGGGCTGGGGATTTAGCTCAGTGGCATAGCGACTGCCTGGCAAGCACAAGGTCGTGAGTTCGATTCCCGGTACTGGCAAAAAACAAAACAAACCCAAAAAAAATGTGGAAGAAATTGGACTGAGCAAATATAAATGTCTTCTAAAAGGTTTTATACAAGTGAAATATATTTATCATAAAAAGTTAAAGCACTGAAAAAAAGTACAAAATCTAAGTTGAAAACATATTGCCTAGAAATAACCACCACCCCAGAAATAACCATCTGAACATTTGTTAAACATTGTTACAGACACCCTTCCATGCTTATGTACAGAGAAAGAAAAGGAGAGAGACTAGAACATCCAACGAGATATAGAGATAGATAAAGCTATTTTAAAAATAGGATTGTATTATGGTAAAAATATTGTTTCTGTTCTTTAATACTGGCTGAAGAAAAATGAGTGAGGCTGAAGGCGTTCATGAGCTTCTTTGCTACAAGCAATACCTATTCCTAAAATTTACTGCAATATTAAGAAATTACTAAAACATTAAAAGTTAAGATTCTCCATTTTCTTCAACTGCATGCCTCAATTCAGCCAGAATTTTGGCCCTGTAAGATGGACAAAGAACATGTGCTCTTTTTTTCACATCCCTCCTTTCAGTTCCTAGTGCTACTAGGTGATTTTATGCTCTCTTGCTCTACAACATTTACTTCCTGTCTTATGACCATAAATATCACATCTTAGTTACTTTTCTCTCATTGCTGAGACAAAATACCCAACACCCAGAGTTAAAAGAGTGAAGGTTAATTTAGTTCATTGTTTGTAGAGGTTTCAGTCCGTAATCAACTGGCTCTAAGGCAGGGTGGCATGGTAGAGAGGCAACAATTCATGGCAGCAAAAGACAGCAAAAGCAACACGACGAAAAGGGAGAAGCAAGCCTCTTTTCTGTCCCTTGTATTGTATGCAGGCTACCCACCCTAGGGTGGGAGTTGCACTGACAGCCCCAACCCTAGCATTAGACAATGAACCAGTCACAAACTCTAGGTTTAGCCACCTCAGAAAAGCCTGCCCCCATGACTGCATGAGGCTTTGGGAGTGACAGAGCAAGCAAGTCCAACAAGACAGGCACTCACAAGAGACCAAAAAGGCAGGAACAAGGAAACCTTTATTGGACAGCCCGCTGACAGACAGTCCCTGACCAAGAGTCAGAGATGTCCACCCGGA